TAGTGAAAGTACTGGAAAAACTAATCAAAACTAAATGGGTAGAACACCTAGAGAGAAATGATATAATATCAGACAGACAGTATGGTTTTCGATCTGGAAGATCCTGTGTATCGAATTTACTCAGTTTCTATGATCGAGCCACAGAGATATTACAGGAAAGAGATGGTTGGGTTGACTGCATCTATCTGGACCTAAAAAAGGCTTTCGACAGAGTTCCACATAAGAGGTTGTTCTGGAAACTGGAAAATATTGGAGGGGTGACAGGTAAGCTTCTATCATGGATGAAAAATTTTCTGACTGATAGAAAAATGAGGGCAGTAATCAGAGGCAATGTATCGGAATGGAGAAATTTCACAAGTGGAGTACCACAGGGTTCAGTTCTTGCACCAGTGATGTTTATTGTGTACATAAATGATCTACCAGTTGGTATACAGAATTATATGAACATGTTTGCTGATGATGCTAAGATAATAGGAAGGATAAGAAATTTAGATGATTGTCATGCCCTTCAAGAAGACCTGGACAAAATAAGTAGATGGAGCACCACTTGGCAAATGGAATTTAATGTTAATAAATGTCATGTTATGGAATGTGGAATAGGAGAACATAGGCCCCACACAACCTATATATTATGTGAGAAATCTTTAAAGAATTCTGATAAAGAAAGAGATCTAGGGGTGGTTCTAGATAGAAAACTATCACCTGAGGACCACATAAAGAATATTGTGCAAGGAGCCTATGCTATGCTTTCTAACTTCAGAATTGCATTTAAATACATGGATGGCAATATACTAAAGAAATTGTTCATGACTTTTGTTAGGCCAAAGCTAGAATATGCAGCTGTTGTGTGGTGCCCATATCTTAAGAAGCACATTAACAAACTGGAAAAGGTGCAAAGATATGCTACTAAGTGGCTCCCAGAACTGAAGGGTAAGAGCTACGAGGAGAGGTTAGAAGCATTAAACATGCCAAAACTAGAAGACAGAAGAAAAAGAGGTGATATGATCACTACATACAAAATAGTAACAGGAATTGATAAAATCGACAGGGAAGACTTCCTGAGACCTGGCACTTCAAGAACAAGAGGTCATAGATTTAAACTAGCTAAACACAGATGCCGAAGAAATATAAGAAAATTCACCTTCGCAAATAGAGTGGTAGACGGTTGGAACAAGTTAAGTGAGAAGGTGGTGGAGGCCAAGACCGTCAGTAGTTTCAAAGCGTTATATGACAAAGAGTGCTGGGAAGACGGGACACCACGAGCGTAGCTCTCATCCTGTAACTACACTTAGGTAATTACATGTACATGCATATATATGTGCAGACACATACATACATGTACATGCATATATATGTGCACACACATACATACATATGAAAAGAAAAGAAAATTAAATAAAGAAAAGAAAATACAAGCTGCCGCTCAGTGGGTAGAGAGCACCACATTGGCCAGGAGAAGAAGGCACAAAGAAAGCACAAAACTGCATCAAAAGGCCCACCTCGACAACAAAACCCAAGGCCCCGGCACAACCACAACACATGCCAAGACCCAAAAAGATTAGCCTGCAAGTCAGGAAGACCCTGGGAACCCCAGAAGGCAGAACCAGGTCACACACAAGGAAACAAAGCCCCCTGAACCCATAAAGGGGGGCCCCAAGAGGAAGAAACCTCCGGAACGAAACTAAAAAACACAAAGGAACCCGGAATCGAACCCGGGAGAGCCCAAACTACCACATTTGCCGGCGGAAATACACGACAGAAAGGCAAAGCACAGCCCCAGACAGAACCCCCAAGAAAATGGCCAAAACAGACCGAAAACCGAGGGACAAGGTGTGGGAGCAAGCATAAACAGACACGGACACTGAGCCCAAACCCTTGGGCCCAGACCCAAAACAGACAGGAAACGGAAAAACCGGTGTAAAAACCAACACCCAGGCGTTGCCAGAGGAACAGAAGACGGGCAGAAAACACCAGAAAAGCAAAGAAACGGCAACCGGAGAATATAATCCCTGAAAGAGGTGAAAAACTCACCCAAGACGCTCACTTGCACACCCAGACGCATGTAAACAAACCACAGCACTGCTCTGGTGACCATGCCAAGAAATCGCAGAAGAAAATGGCCACCAGAAACAGGGGGCCATGACCGATGCAATAGATACGAAAACACACCAGCATATGTGGGAAGCAAGCAGGCTAGATGGACGAAAAACTCCGCCCAGAAGCAGAAAACCCAGGCAGAGGCAACTGCCCCAGAACTGCTAGCAAGCATCCCCCACAGCCCCGGGAACCCGCAACAGAGGCCCCAATGCAGAACAGTCCTCCATGCTCTCTGCCCTTAAAGAAAAGGAAGAGTCCAGAGGAAAGGCAGCAAGAAAGGGCTGCTGGTAAGATCCAGAAGCCTTGGCAGGAGGAACAGGCTCGAAAACTTCTGTCCCAATCCGAACGGGGCAGCCCCTGAAACCGCCCGAGTCTCGGCCCCAACTAAACCCCGCCCTGACCCCGAAACCCGCAGACGGTCAGGAGCCGGGAACATGGAGGGAAAAGAGCGAACAGCACCTAACCAAAACAGGGCAGCCCCGGGGCAACCGATTGGGAAACCAACCTAGCGCATTGGAGCAACCTAAACCAAGCTTGCAACGCAGATGCCGCCTGTACACTGAACAGTAATAACATCAGGAGAGTACTGGAAAACAAGCAGAGAACACAACTCACAAGACTCCGGGTCAAGGTGTCAGTGATCCAACAGGCAGTATGACGGAGGTAAAAGTGGCGACTGTTACCTGGAGACAAGGGCACAGCAACCAACGAACCCGCACAAGACGGGTTGGAACCCGGAAGACACATTCAATGGTCCAACGAGCCTCGACAGGGTTTTCCAGGGCCTGTATGGTAACAACTATGGGAAGCCCGGGCAAGGTGTTGCTAACCGGTTAAAACCCAAAACTAACAAGGGGTAGAGGACAACACTGAAAACCCCTGCGATGTGTACAATCACGGGGGCCTAGCAGAGGGCCACCAAACACTACCAGTGGAACTATAGCCACACTAGGCCGACCCCCACCAGGCAAACGAAAATAAAAACAAAATTAAAACCTTAAAACCCCGCAAAAGTACACCGTCCCCAGAGGCAACAGGAACCGGTTGCCGTGTAGGTGGCAGGTTGCGCAACACCTTGATGCCCTAACCAGCACAATACCAATCCCTACCCAGGGCCAAACAAGGGACCCCAAGCCCCAGCTGGCCCCAAGGGCGAGGCAAATGCTGAGCAACAAGAACCTCTACGGGAATGGTTCCCGAACGCCCCAGGGAAGATAACCCTGTCACGCAGGAGCAGTACTCACAGGGCGCTTAGGGAAGGAAGCCCCTAAGTGCATGCAGTCCCGGCACTGATGAGGAACACCTGGCCACCGCACAACACACGGTAGTGAACAAACACCGCCTAGGAAACTGAGGCCAGAGAAGCGTCTGTCCCGGTTGACATTAGCTTACGAACTGATGGCTAGGCAGCTGAAGCGGTGAGGTCTGGGGCGCCCCCCTCCCCCTCTCAGGGGGGTGGCTGCATGGACGATTAGCGCGGCAGTAAAGTGTGATGTTTGCTTGTTTACTTGGGATTGTAGTGAGTTTCTACCTCTCTGTTCAGTTTTCTGTTTTAGTTTTTTACCATGTCGGGTTTGTTTTGTTATGCCTACCTTTCTGGGTGCCCAACCTCGGTCGATGGCAGATAAGGAAAACCCCAACCACAAGGGGGTTTTTCAGGGCCACTGCTCCCTGAAACCTCTCTGAAGGGGCCAGATTCTGGTGCTAGTCCATGATAGGTCTGAACTCCTTAGCTAATGTCCTGCTCTAATATAGCATACATTAGCCCGATAAGCTCCAGGGAGCCGTAGGGACTCCCCACAGAAAAAAAGGGCAGCAAAAAAAAAAAAAAAAAAAAAAAAAAAAAAACGTAAAAACGAGAAGCAAGTAAGAGAGTGTACTACTACTGACTGTACTACTGTCCCAGTAGTACAGTCAGATTTGTTCTCAACGCACAATCAAGATTTCTGGGTTTGAATCCTGGGTGGAACAAAAATGGTTGGATGCATTTCCTAATCACCCAGTGTTCCTGTTTAGCTAGCAGTAAGTAGGTACTCAGGAGTTAGTCAGGTTGTTGTGGGGTTGCATCCTGGGCAGTGTGAGTTATTCGACCTAGGGGGGGATGGAGGGACCTCAAAATAAGCCTAATGTGAATGAATACACTCTGGCTTCCTGTCCCTTGACACAATGAATAAAGAGGGTTGCACAAAGTGGTAGAATTGGCCCTTATTCTTAAGTCTTAAGATGCTGGTGTAGCATGAAACATCAAGAATTACAGCTGTTGAAGGGAACAATGTGAGATGTATTTGTTGTGTTATGATAAAGTAAAGACTGAAAATATAGATACAATAAATGCAAAAGTCAACAAATCATAAAACTGAGGAGTGTCTTGAGAGGGTTTGGTCATATTGAATGAAAGGATCATAGAGTGGTGAGGTGTATATTATAGTAAATTAGCAAGTACTGTATAAGGAAGAGGAAGGCCAAGAGGGCAGAAAGACATGATAAATAGATGTACAGTAAAATGTACAAAGAAGTGAGGATTAAGTGAACAACTCTCACTCAAGCACTGGTAGAGTATAAGACTTGATGTAATAAATTTTCCGAGGTAAAGAATGTTTGATATTTGACATTTTTAAATGACAACCCATGGGAAGCACTTTTGACCTAGTCACATGGAAAGGTATGGTGCTGCTATGAATGTTTTGCTGGAGTGTGATAGTGCAGATATTGTGATGTTGAAGTACAGTACAATATATAGTATAGATGATATGGTGAATGAAAAGGGTGAAATTTTGAACCCCTAACAGTCTTTTTCCAAAATGTATTGCCTTCCCTATTTTTTTAAGGCTGATGCCTGTCTACTCCATGAAAGGGAAAATATGTTAACTAAAATCTTTACATGAGGGTTACGAAGTACTCACAGTTTATGAGCAGAAGAGCCACAGCCAGAAATAGAAGCATAATCTGAAAGTACGTGAAGGACCAGCATAGTTGCCAGAGAAGACGGATATACCAAGCCAGCAATGTCACTACTGCTGGAAAGAACACTGTTTGAAGTGCCACAAGTACCTTCGTGTAATGTCCATCCTGGCTGATAAACTGTAAATACAAACACTACCAATTACCAGCATTATTGCTACTCTCTCAACATAATGTATGGTTTTCTCTAGCATACAGTAAAGTTAATCATTACTGAATTTTAGTTCAACTTTGGGTTCTAACTACATTAGCACTGATTGTGTGTTGTATATATATACCAAAACACAAAGTTCAGTTTCACTGCATCGTTCTTATTCTAATGTACTGTACTTGTAGTTATAATTTTGGGTAAAATATTTAAAAACCTACTTTATCATTATAATGTGGCTATAACAATAAGAATAAAACACTTTCACCCAAACATTTCAAGAGTTGCTCTAATCTCACAGATATACAAATACAGTGTTGAATGCAATGGGATGCCTCTTTCTAGTGGGCCACTCAGTAGCTCCCCATAGCTGTAACCTTGACATTACAAAGCCTTAGGGTACACACCTGGCCACCGAGACCCCACGAGAGCCTAGGGAAGAGAAGGCAAACCAACGTATTGTGTGCCCAGACTGGCATGTCAACAAATTTTACCAGCATATGGCATGCACTGCCATCCCTCGAATTTCTTAACAACCATACCCATTTAATTAATATAAAATTATTTAATAAAAAGCTGACCGTTCAAAAAACCAGCGTTGAATGTAATGAAACGCCATTTTCTGGGTGAGACCCGGAGGCCCCCCGGAGCTTACTAGGCTGATGCTAATATCAGACTTTGGCATCAGTCATGTGTATGGAGTTCAATGGGCCTACCAGGGACCATGAGCCAGAACCTGGCCCCCTCAGAAGAGGCAAGGGAAGCAATGGCCTATAGAAACCCCCGTGTGGTTGGAAGCATTCCTTGTCTGCCATCAACTGGGTCAGGCACCCAGAAAAGTAAGCATCCCAAAACAAACCCCTATTCGCGTGAAAAAATTGCTATCAAAAGCCGAACAAATGGATAGAACTCCCCTAAATGAAACGAGCAAGCGATCATGACATCACAGATTGCCACGCCGCTGTCTGCGCAGCTCCCCCCTCCCCGGGAGGGGGAAGGGGGAGCCCCAGACCCCATATGCCGGCTATCCACTCTTAGTTCTTAGGCTGGATGTCGAAACACACGAAAAACCCCTAACCGGAGGGAGGGAGGGATGCCGGGGAGCCTCCGGGTCTCACTCAGAAAATGGCGTTTCATTACATTCAAGCTGATTTTCTGGGGGGAGCCCCATCGGCTCCCTGGAGCTAACTACCCACAGACGAAAAACATAGGGACTTACCTGGCTGGCAGTCATCGCTCACTCCTCAACTCAAAGTTGAGACAACTGGCTGCAACTGCCGACCCAAAGCGACACAGGCCCGACTAGGCCCAGGGAAGTTCATAAGCCAGGACCCTGTTCGACCGCCAAAAATCCTGCGTCCGAATGTCAGCCCACGACGTGTTGCCAAAGACGGCAGCAAGAGCAGCGAACTTACGAACGTCATGGGCACGGGGGATAGACCGCAGGCTGGCTAGCCTTAATAACTCTGTGGATGACCTGGGAGACCCGTACCCACGAACAGGGAAGAAGGGAAATCGGATCAACCCAAAGTGCGTCCCCAGACACAGAAGCCATGGCGCGCAAATAACAGCGAAGAGCTGCAACTGGACACAAAACATGATGCACCCCCGGCCTAACCAACCAAGCATCCACAACCCAGGGAACCTCCGGAAAGCAGCAGTCTCATTCTTCGCCAGAAAAGAAGGAGCCGGCTGTAAACGAACAAAATCATCACGAAGACCGAAAGACCAGAAATCCCTGTACCAAAGGAGAGCATGAAGCTCACCAACCCGACCCCCAAAGGCCAATGCCAACAGAAAAAGAGCCTTCGAAAAACATTCCGGAACCGAAGGGGCCACAACAAACCGAGGAGAAGAAAGATAAGAGAGCACTCTGTCCAATGACGAGGACGGCTCAGGCGGCGCATGAGCAGGCCAGAGGTGAAACAATGCCTGAGACAGCTTGTGAAACAATGCAGAAGTAACATCAATACCGAAAGCAAGCTGAAGCGGCTCCACCAGCGCAGCACGATATGAGGTGACAGTGTTTGGCATAAGGTGACGGTTCTGGAACAACCAAGAGAGAAAGGACACCACCCTAACAGAAAGCGAAGTACAACGACGAAGACGCAGGAAGAAACAGAAGGACCGTCAGGAAACTTTGTACTGCCACCGAGACGAAATCCGCAGGTGAGACACTAACAAGGAAGCTACCTGATCACCATAGGTAGCTTCCAGATGATAAACTCGAGTCAAAACATCATGCGCAAAGACTCGAGGAGAAGATCGAACCAGCCACGTGATGCACCGGTTCGATCTGTTGGAAGAGGCGGAGCCGCGGGAAAACCTCTGGTTTCGGACACTGGGCAAGCAGCACCTGAAACCACGGTTGAGCTGGCCACCACGGGGCCAAGGGGACTACTCACCCCTGATAGGTCTCCAAGCAAGACAGGACCTGGAGCAACAGCTGAACCAGGGGAAAGAGGTACAGGAACCCCCACCTCGACCAGTTCTGCCAAAAGGCATCTACCCCGATGGCCTCACAATCAGGGAAGGGCGCTACGTACCGGGAAAGTCGCCGCGACCACGCCAATGCGAAGAGGTCCATCTCGGGGCGCCCGAACATCTGGCAGAGCCAACAGAAGGAGTCGGCGCTGACCATCCATTCCATGGAGAGGGGAACGAAACGAGACAGGCCGTCGGCCAAGACGTTGGACACTCCCTGCATGTGAACTGCCAAGAGAGCCAAACCCCAAGAATTCAGCAGACGAATCACCCGAAGCGACCAGCACCAAGGAACCAAGGACTGCATCGAACCCCCTCGGTTCAGCGAATGAACCCCAGGGGAGCAGTCCGAATAGAGCCGGATCGTCGATCCACAGACGACCCGAATACTCCGAAGTGCAAACCACACCACGCACTCCCGCACTGTGCTGTGGGCTCGACGGAAGGACGGACCCCACTGTTCCTGGCCAGCCTGGTGATCACTGGTTACAAAGCCCCAGCCGAGAGACAACACATCCGTGAACATCTCGAGCAGGCGCCAAGGCACTGAACCCCAAAAAACCCGAAGAGGAAGCCGGCGACACAGCAGCCAACGCAACGCCCTTGGGGGTTGAGCCTTGCGATCGCAAGAGAGGCGGAAAAGACGTCCCCGAAGGAACCAGAACAGCCAACGAATCCAAACCCGACCCGGCAGGTAGACCAACATCGCGAAGTTCAGGCTTCTGCACAAACCCTCGGGCAACCGTCGGACGACCCGGGAGACCCCAGAAACAGATGCAAGCCCGAAGGAGAGACTCCGGAGGAAGAGGCAAGGAAGTGGTCCAAGAATCACACACAAGACTCAACCATGACCAAACCTGGGAAGGCACCAGATGGGACTTCCTCTAGTTCACCAAGAACCTGAACACGGCAAGCTGGGAAAGAACCAAATCCCTGGATAGCAGACAACTGGACCAGCTGGGAGCCCAAACCAGCCAGTCGTCAAGGTATGCTAACACCAAAACACCTAACAGACGCAGACGGGCCACAATAACCTGCGTGAGGCGTGTGAACACGCGAGGTGCCAGATTCAACCCAAATGGGAGACAACGAAAGCGGTAACCGTGATGCCCCACAACAAACCCGAGCCAGTCCCCTGAACCCCGGATGAATCAGGACGTGCCAATAAGCGTCCCAGAGGTCCAGGGACACCATCCAAGAACCCGGCTCCAACAGGAGCCGAACTAGAGACAGTGTAGTCATCCGAAAGGAGGGGCAATGAACCCAAGGGTTCAGACGGGACAAGTCCTGAATGAATCGCAGATCTGCACAGTCCCGTTTCAGTACCGGAAACAGTCGGAAAAATCCATCTGAGGGATGACGTCATTTCGACGATGCCCAAGCGAACCCACTCCAAGACAACTCAACAGAGCGCAGGAAAGGAAGCCTGCCCCGTCAGCCCGGCATTCTCGAAAGGGGAAGGGGCCATCCAACGCCACCACATGCCGAAGGAAACGACCCTAAACGCCAACAAATTGTGGGACCAGGCGTGGGCGAACAGCGCAAGCGTCTCCCCCCATTGCCCTGTCAATGGTGCGAACTACGAAAGGGCCGGCGCCCCTTACGAGACCCAGAACCCCGCACAGGGCGAACACCGCGCCAACCAGCCGAAGGTGGATCCGAAGATGGAGCCAAGCCCGAACCTGGCACCAGTGGCCTATCACGTCGAGAGGAACCCCGAGCCCTGGTACGACCCCTTGGTCATGCCAGCCCCCCCCCCCCGGACCCCCGGAGAACCAACAAGTCCGACATCGGAAGACAACTTGCCGAGGCCGCCTGTATATATTGCGCCATGGCCGCAGGAGCCAAAATCAACGGACAAAAAGGCAAAGAATCCTAAGAACCAGAGCCCAGGCCAATTCCAAAGAAGAGGCCAGCACTGCCTGTCGACACGTGAGCCAGGAAGCGTAAAACTGGACAACTCCATCCCGCAAGATTGGCGCAAACAGCTTCAACAAGGCAGCCGAGCCCAAGGCAACGGACCCCAGAACGGCTCCGAGCACCCCTACGTCCTCCCCAAGCCAGTCCGAAGACAGCTTCAGGAGGGAAAAGAAGCGCAAGGCCATAGCCAAGAGGCCCCTGGCACGCATATCCTCGGCCACCTGCGCAGCCGAAAGGGAGGGAACCTGCACATGGAGCTGCAGAATACCAACATTTCGGGAAAGGGCCAGAGTAAACAAGCACTCATTAAGGTGCTCAAGGTCACCACCCAGGAAAACCTGAACCACAGGAGAAACCTCACGTCACTCAAGCTTGTGGGAACGACAGAAAGAATGCCAGGCTTCCAAGGCAAAGATAGGACAGTCCGCCAGCCAGGACAACTCCGGAACCTTGTGATAAACCCAGAAAGAGAACGAAGTCCCAAACCTGAAAGACGACATATTCATCACTAAGGGGTACTCCTGGTCACGCAGGAGGTAAGCTGCAAGGGCCGCCCGCAACGCAGATG